TTTTTTTTTTTTTTTTTTTTTTTTTTTTTTTTTTTTTTTTTTTGTGTTGTTGTCTTTCTTTGTCGCCCAGGCTGGAGTGCAGTGGGGTGATCTCTGCTCACTGCAACCTCTTTCTCCCAGGTTCAAGCAGTTCTCCTGCCTCAGTCTCCCAAGTAGCTGGGATTATATGCATGCGCCACCACACCCTGCTAATTTTTTGTATTTTAATAGAGACGGGGTTTCACCATGTTGCGCAGGTTGGTCTCAAACTCCTTGCTCAGACGATCTGCCCACCTCAGCCTCCCAAAGTGCTGGCATTACAGGTGTGAGCTACCACACCCGGCATCATTATCATTTTTATGGACTCATTTCTTAACATTCATGAGAGAAAACAAGTTTCCTTGAGATCAAGATTTCTCAGCTTCAGCTCTATCAGTACCAGAGGCTAGATAACTCTTCGTTAATGATGTCTGGTGCACTGTAGGATCTTTAGCAGCATCCATGACTTTGACACACTAAATGCTAATTTCATTTCCCAAGTTGTGATAGCCAAAAACACCTCCAGATGTTGCCAAGTGTCCCCAGTCCTCTGGAGGGGTATGGGGGAAAGCTGGCAAAACTACCACTGGTTGATAACTACTTTAGATAAACTATTTCAAACAATAATCATTTTGAGACTAATCTGAACTATTTGACATCATCAAATGCAGTAAAACAAACAAGCAAACAAAAAAAAAGGGAAAAGAAGAAATATTCACAAAATTAACCACCTTCTGTCTTCCATAGACACTACAAGTTTCAGGTAAACTTTGAAGTCATTAACATTAGCTTATATCCAGGAAGGTTAAAAAAAAAAGATTAAAAATCAATATAATATTTAAATTTTAAAAACTCTTTTCAATTGTGTTTCTTTTAAACTAGGTAGGTAACATTGTTTATTTAACAAAATTACCAGATCATTAGTTTTCATTTCTCTAATATATGACTAGTCTTTGTAACCTAATGCACACATGAATATCCTTTTTGCCTCATTTCAAGTGTATTACAATCTGGTAAGTGAAATCTGATTAAACTATGTTACTTTCATGAAAAAATTCTTATAAAGTCAACAAGCAAAGGAAAAATTAGTACAGATTCTATATATACATACAAAATAAATTTCTGGCAAAACCAATTTCACGCCTATGTTCTATGCAACTATAAAATCTGTACATAGAGAGAGATAAATTTATTATTTAAAAATACTATCTATACTAGTTGAAGAAATATGCACAAAAACTAGAAGGAATTTTTTTCACACATTCAAAAAGTTAAGATCAATGAGTTCCATGCCACTGCTCACAAAGAGGTCAATACTATCATGAAGAGAGTTTGATGTGTCCATGTTAACATGACACTGTTTCTTTAACTCCTTACAAGACCACCAGATCTTGCTCTCACCTGATTTATCTGTAGAATCTTCAAATTCCACAAGGAAAGAGTACCCGTTATTCCAGATGTGGAGGCAGGTGGCTGGGTCATAAGAGATGGTGAGTGGTTTTAAGCCAGGATCATAAACACTGTCCCTCCACCGGATGTTGATGGGTGACTGTCGATCACCCGCAGGAACCAGGTCCGTGCTCTCCCACAGTGGATGCACTAGGAGAAAGCAGGTCAGGCTTTTATCAAGACTGTTGGACCAGGCAACATGGCAAAACCCTGTCTCTACAAAAAATACAAAAAAAATTATCCAGGCGTGGTGGTACACACCTGCAGTCCTAGCTACCAGGGAGGCTAAAGTGGGAGGATTGCTTGAGCACAAGAGGTCGAGGCTGTTGTGAGCCGTGATCACACCACTGCACTCCAGCCTGGGCAACAGACCCAAACA